GGTAATAGGTCCACTAGGAAGTGCGAAGTTGTCAAGATTATTCCATGCAGCTAATCAGTTCTGGAGCATCCATAGCTTGATTTTGGGATGTGTCGCCGTCCTTTGTTCTTGGTTTTCGATAAAACATTTAAGGATAATTTGTGGAATCGAAATGTAGTAGTAATAGTAGTCGTCGTTTAACTGTTCTCCGAGATTTTCAAACTTGCCAAGAAACTTTTGACTTCGTTCTCTCTCTACCATGAGGTTCATTTGCTGCATCAATGAGGTGACAGCAGATGCAAAGTCCAAGAAAGGACTTGGGGGCCGCGAGGATCCTGCTGTTGAGCACTCAGTTCCTCCTATGGGTGGCATGAGACCTCGGGGTGCCGGTGGTCGTAGTTCGCATGTCGGCGGTGAGTGATTAGAACTTGTGACCAGATGTAGGTCTGCGGAAGTTTCGCCAGTGTCCACCTTTTCCCCGTGCTGCATGGCCATTTCCGCTTCGTTCACAGTTAAATGTCGCTTCTCACGTTCTTGAGTGGAATTCTTGGGATGGAAGTAAAGAACGTAGCGATACCTCAATGACAAACGAGCTGGACTGACAGTGATTCACTCACACACTTACAATGGGTGGATCAATTTGTGGATCCCGGTGAGTTGAATTGATGTAAGAGACTTTCCGTTGCGATCTTTAATAACAATGAAATATCTTTTCCATAGCAAAAAATTGTTACTGTAGGCAATGAAGAAACTTACTTGATTTCGTCAAGTCTTGCTTTTTGATACACGCTATCTGGCAGCTGGAGAAAGATCAAATTTAACAAAATTTTGTATGGCTGCTAACACTATTTTACAATTTCTCAAAAAAATGTCTTAATCAAATTACAATCCTCACAGGAACCTGACGTTGGTCTGATCTCCCATTAGCTATCCAATTCTCGTAAATAAGGAGACCAGCGTAGATCTTTCCCGTTGTCATCTTTCCACAGGTAAGTTCTGGAATGCAACATTTAGGGTCGAACCTACTAATATTGTAGGTCTTATTTCAATAGACCTATGCTGCAAGTCTCACCGTCATCACTGGGGACCAGAAGGTTGAGCATCCTTTTAGCCTGCAGTGGCCACATTTCACGGACCGTGTCCCTCAGTTCAGCATCTTTGATGTCCATCACTGAGGCTGGACCCATTTTTATGCTCAGTGACTCACGAATCAACGCAAACAGTGTTGTATTAAAATGGACGCATCCATGATCATCCAGAGGCAGGTTCATCCGAATTAGCTTCTGAAAAGGGAGAAGAGGCAATTTTCAAGACTTATTTTGTTTCCCCTCTTTAATCTCCTGGTGAAAGTTTTACTCTCCCGCAGGTGTTGTTGATATGGCTAAAAGTAAACTACTCACTCGATAGGCCAACCGATATGGGCACTTCTTGCCAAATCCAACCGGAGGTTCAAGTTTGCGTAGCATCTCGTACATATCGGTATGATGGATGCGACCCCTATAAATACCCACCAAAGAACATTTTACTAGACTCTGTGTAAATGTTACGAATCATGCAACGAGTAAGGCAGTCATTACGTAGCAGCTGGGTCGTACTCAGCCCACACGCGGATAAACTCCTCTAGGTGGTGTGAGCCAAGAATGGAAGAGTCACGAGTGAGGTAGTCAAAGTTGTCCATTATCACCGCCACAAAAAGGTTTAACATAAGGAAAGTGCAGAGGAAGATGAAGGAAACGAAGTAGACGTAGGTGCCCGCACTGCCGCAGGTATTTTCAGGCTTGTTCGCACACCGTTGAGGGTAGTCACAGGACAGCATCAATTCTTGCCACGACTCGCCTGTCGAACATCTTTAACAAACAAATCCATGGTAACAAAGCAATTACTTGTGAAGTATCAGTGAAGTTGTAAAGGCTGACCTTATTTACCTAAATAACAACAAGAGAGCGTTACCAAACGTTCGAAAGTTTGTTTGTATTGTTATTTGACTTGATGGATCATCCACAGCGATTGTTCCAAAAACCTAGAAAAGGAGGTGGTCACAAAATGTGTGGAAATTTCCCCAAATTTTCGAAGGCTTAAATCTCTTTTTTACTTTTTTTGTGACTAGTTCTGGCCTTCGGAAAAGAAAAAAATTTCTCGTGAAAATTTGCGTTTTATGATGAATCCACAAAAAATAGCAGACTTTCGTTGTTAATGTGGAGTGTAGAAAGGGAGGTGAAAAACGGAACACAAATATAAGTATTTTTCATAGGTCAGCGTTCACACATTGCATGAAAATAATGAACAAATCAAAGGGACTATAACGCCATAAACTTCAACAGTAGGACTGTTTGCTGCTCTATATGGCGCTGAATCGAAGTGCAATTATTTGGTAAGTGAAGCGGTTTTTTGGTCTTTTCGACATGCCTGCATCCCAACGATGGCATAGATGAAGAAGAGCATAGCAATGAGGAGACAGACGTATGGAAGAGCCTTGAAGGATTGAATGAATGTCCACAGGAGGATTCGTATGGTGTAGCCTTGTCGAAGCATCTTTACTAGTCGTGCTGCTCTGAAGAGTCGAAGGAAGCCCAAATTCAGAAAAGATGTGTCCTATAAGGTGTGATAATTAGTTGAACACTTTGAATAATGAACCCAACATTTTCCTACACATCTGTCGCCTCACCTGTAAACTTGTTACTAAGACATCTGTGATACTGCCGATGACTGTGATGAAGTCGAAGATGTTCCACCGGTCCCTAAAATAATTCTAAAATGGGGTGTTTGTATTCTTAGCCAATCACCTACGCGTGGACCAAAAGCCAAGATTTTCAGAAGGCACTCAATGGTGAACATTCCAGTAAAGGCAGTATTGAGATACATTAAAGAGGCACAATAACTTTCGTAGGCTTTTGTATTGTCATCGGGTTCTAAGGCGGAACGAAGTGACTTTTCCGGCCGATGAAACTATTTAATTTACAAAAAAAACATTGAAATCAAATTTCTACTTAAGAGTCAATTTCAGTAGAATGCAAATCTTACCTTCATCATGAGAATGAGTGTGTTGAGGGCTATCATGGTCATTATAAAGTACTCAAAGGGTCCTGATACAACCAATTGCCATATGCGATATTTGAATGACTTTGGATCCCCCGGCATATAGCGACATAGCGGTCGAGCGTTAATAGCAAAATCAATGCATTGCTTCTGAGATGAAAGAAGGCAAACAATAATGTGTTCTCTTCTGTTTCCTTAAATTTGAACTTAATAACCGACCTGATTCTTGTCCAGTTCATGGTCGACAAGTTCATTTTCTCCCTGTTCCTTGAAGGTAATGATAATTAGGGCGACGAAGATGTTGACAAAGAAGAATGGAAAAACAACAAAAAAGATGACATAGAAAATGGCAACTTGTTGCCGATAGTCTGTTTTGGGCCCGCGATTGACATCAGTCGCGTCAATTGAATTCTTCATGACACTTAAAGTAGGAAAAGCCGATGAGATAGTGAGAGGAGGAAAGTCATCATATAATTATGAAGTCTGTGTTAAACCTTCCCGCCATTTCTTATATCCGATAGTTCAAGTTCCTCCTTTTCACACACCCGAAAAGATTTTTGACAGAAAAAATGAACGGGAACCATACAACTTGATTTTAATCGCTCTATGGGTGCAGTCAAGCAAGAGACCACAACTAGTCCAAACTTACTCAGGCCAGCCCTCTCCAGTTGTGACAGTGAAGAGTGTGAGCATGGCGTAGATAAGGTTGTCGTAGTTGAAAGCTCGAGCGGACCATATCCTCGGCTTAACCTCTGGTATGTCAGAATGCTCGTAAGAGATAAAGTAACCCCTGGGATAAAGGTTAAACAAGGTCACTAAACTAAAAGGAAAAACGAATAAACTTTCCTTTGGAGAAAAAGTGATAGGAGTGATGTATATGACTTGTTGATAAGTGTCGAGATTTCATACCTCGGCCGCCTTTACCGCTCCCACTTTGCTAATCCCCTCTCTGTCATTCTAGTCATGGTTTATTTTGCCCTCCCTCAGTCGTCCACTAGCTCTGCCACCGAAAGGTGCAATATCTTCGTCATCCCCTCCAAACTTCAAGCAACCGAGTTGCTCACATCGCAACATGCCTTAACCTCCAAGTCATTCAGCACACAGAATGGGGATAGGGTAGCCGTCGAGATAAGAAATGAGCAAAGAATAGCAGCTTATTCACTTTTTGGTAGTGGTAAAATTCCACACAAAAAATTGTAAAAGCTTGGCATATTCTGCCTAAAGCCTTCGAAACGCATTACTTACTGGCACTCCTCGCGTGTCTCCTTAGATAAATCATTGCATGCAAAGAATTTCCCTTGAAACAGTTGAACTGCTACCACACCAAAAATGAGTTGAAAAAGGATGTAGACGATGAGGATGTTGAAGACGTTCTTTAGTGAGCTGACAACACAGTCAAAGACCGCCTAAAGCGCCAAGAATTTTGTAACCTGATTTTTCTTATAAAGGGAGAAAAACCTTCAACTTCGGGACTCGTCGAATTGTTTTCAGTGGACGCAGCACACGTAGAACCCGTAGGGATTTGATGGTCCCCAAGTTTTTCCTAAGAGTTGGGGATATTACCACTGGTCGGCTGTAAGCACAAAGTATTGTATGTACAAATGCCCACCTAGTAGCATTACGACTAACGCCACTGCTATCTGTTTGTCGGCTAAAATTAAAAATTTGGCTTTTCAGCTTCGTTTTAGAGCATGAAACGAACTTTTATTAGAGAAACGTACTTGGAGAAGGCTACAAGGGCTCCTAGAACAACAACAGCGTCAAGAACGTTCCACGGATCACGGAAGTAAGAATGGGGATGGAGGACTACGCCCAAGTCAATCAGCTAAAGCATAAGGCGTGGGAAAAGAAGAAGAAGAAGGTAAGTTGTGGCCCCCAATACGCGCACTAATTGTCAACTGTGTTCCACCTATTCACATCTCATCATTGACGGTGTGCGACCTGCATTCTGTGCTCTTGCAATGAATGGTCAGGCTTAAGCAAGAGGAGTAGCAGCTTGCCTTCAAAATCATTTCCATGGTGAAGACACAGGTAAAGGCATGATCAAAATACTCCAGGATGATATTTCTAGGATTTTTTTCATCTACCGGATCTTCGGCTGCGAGAGATATACTACTCGATGCAATCACAATCATGATGAAGAGGTCAAAGTATCGTAAATTCACCACAAAGTGACAGAATCGGCGAATGCTGCAAAAGATGCAAAGCATAGCCTGCAATCAGCACAAGAAGAAGTTGGAGAAAATTATTTTTCAAGCAGACTCACGGATTGGATGGAGAAAATATGTACATTGAACTGTATGGCAGAATGGCTTTTCCCACATCTACTTTGGAAAAGTCGCTTGAGGGACTGGCCTCGCCTTCACCCTCCTCGGCAGACACTTGAACAAAAGAGAGAAGAATGAGAATGGTTAGGAGTTAGGTGAGTTTGGCTTACTTGTCAGGCCTACCCAGCACTTAATTCCTCCGTTTTATCTGCATTTTTCTACAGCTAAATTAATGTTGATCCAAACTCTGATCGCGTGAGAGAAACAGCGAATGCGAGTAGATAAGAGGATGGTCTAAATGTAGGTGACTAAATTAAGCACTTCTTAAAGCAACCATTAACTCGTAAGAAAGAGCCAAGTGATTTACCCATTCGTAGTAAAGAGAGAGAACTATGCTCCAGAAATGGGAAGGATAAGGATGTGAAAAATCTCCCTTTCATTTAAAGGCGGATGTATGATCTTTTCATGGGTGGTTTTGATCGAAGATCTGTAGTTGTCTTGCAAAAATGCCATAGTTCAGCTGAATGACTGATGGTTACCGTCTTTTAACCTACTGCAATATGAGTTGGGAGACCTCATGATTTCTGAATATTTTTCGAAAGTCCAAAACTACCACCTCCTTTCAAATGCATGAATGAGATTGCCGCCATATTGAGGACAAATTTAATCAGCTGCTATTGTTACGCGATGCACATTCCAACCGTGTCTGTAGAAGTCGCGTGCTGTACTCGCAACACCCTCTCATCCTCCATTCCCACCTAATTACTCCTACCTTGCAGGTAATAAAGATGTCGTGATTTTTTACAGGCGTGAAAGGCTGCCGCAGAGATCAAGTTTGGTAAAGAAACTGGTTTCAAAATCTTTTAAAATCTGCAAATAGAAAAATCG